GACATTGACAGACCCTGACAGAGCGTGACACACCCTGACAGACCCTGACACACCCTGACAGAGCGTGACAAACCCTGACATTGACAGACCCTGACAGAGCGTGACACACCCTGACAGACCCTGACACACCCTGACAGAGCGTGACAAACCCTGACATTGACAGACCCTGACAGAGCGTGACACACCCTGACAGACCCTGACACACCCTGACAGAGCGTGACAAACCCTGACATTGACAGACCCTGACAGAGCGTGACACACCCTGACAGACCCTGACACACCCTGACAGAGCGTGACACACACTGAAACGGTGTGAAACACCCTCATGCAGTACAAAGACCCTGGCACCCTCACACGCTCCCGTACCCTCCCACACCCTTACACACACCACCGTTTATAACGTGTCATTGCCGTTATGTTGCAGGCTTCCAACATGATTCCAACACTGTCATTGTTGTTATGTTGCAGGCTTCCAACATGATTCCAACACTGTCATTGTCGCTATGTTGCAGGCTTCCAACACGATCCCAACATTGTCATTGTCGTTATGTTGCAGGTTTCCAACACGATCCCAACATTGTCATTGCCATTATGTTGCAGGCTTCCAACATGATCCCAACATTGTCATTGCCATTATGTTGCATGCTTCCAACACAATCCCAACACTGTCATTGTCGTTATGTTGCAGGCTTCCAACACAATCCCAACACTGTCATTGCCATTATGTTGCAGGCTTCCAACACAAATTCCAACATATTGTCATTATGTTGCAAGCTTCCAACACGATACCAACATTGTCATTGTCATGTTGCAGGCTTCCAACACGATCCCAACACTGGCTAACTACGCAACGCTGCATCAACTTGGCTCGCCCACGATGGGTTCGCTAGGCGTTCACTCGCTCGCCGCACACCTTGGTAATAACACAGGTACGACTACGCAGGTAATACTACAGGTAACAGGCACTCACTGGTGCGGGAGTACCATGCATTAGTGCCGACGCGGCACGCCGGTGTCTCCGCACTACACCGACGACGTTGTACCACGCTTGTGCCACTGTGGCCACAAGAGTGCCATCCTACCGCACCGGTACTGCCATGGCACACTATGTACAGCCTCTGTACTAAAGCCAGCTGTGCCACCCCCCTACTGCACAAGTGCCACCCCTACCGCACTAGTTCCACTATGACGTACTACTGTTGCCATACTACACCAATCTTACTCTGCCGCACTAGTGCCACTGGGTCACCCTAGCGCGGCCGTACAACATCAGCCAGGTACAGCATCCACAAGTGTGTACATACTGATTTGGGAAGCCTGTCAACCGAGAAGCTTCATATCTAATCGACTGGCCGGTCAGGTTGGCCACGTGTAATGGTTTCTTGTTTGCATTAAACGAACGCGGCGTTTCACGGGTGGGTTGGTAAATAGGGAAATGGGTTTTTGGCAATTTTGGCCGCGCGCTCATTCATGCGTAGTCAAGTCATATGCGCGTAATTAATGTGAAACATGTTGCGGTGCTGGATGAATTCATTGGGTCACTGAGGTACATAACAGGGAAGCTTTCAGTGACTCTCTCATCACATCAGCGTGCGTAATTGGACCGGACTGGACTTGGCGGGGTGAGGGAGTTTTGGTCACCCGTCTATCTGCCACTGAAATCATTTAAGCATTATTTAGTAGCTTCCATTATTTAGTAGCATTTCAGGTTACGGACTGGGATAGATAGCATTGGGGTTAGGAGTAGCTAGGGTAGCACAGATGTCTAGAGGACCGCCGTTTCACGGAGTTTCCGGTTCCTGTTATCTCCAACCAAATAGCGGCTGCTGTTTGTCAGAAAGTCCTTGTTACAAATAGTATAGCTGATGTGACTAGCTAACCGAATAGGCATTGCAAATTACTAACCGAATAGCTGTTACAAATATATGTTGTGAGCAACTACCCGAATACGCGTTACAAAAATCGCTAACCGAGAAGCCATTACACACATCTAATTGAACAGCTAGTGGGAAGAGCTAACCGATCAGCCGACACACATGGCTAGCCACATAGCTATTGCGGGCAGCTTACCAAAGAGCCATTGCACATAGGTAGCTGAAATCACTTTTGCTGATGGCTAAGCGAGTAGCTATGGTTAATTGAAGCTAATCCATGCGTGTGTGTGTGTTGCAGCGGTCGGCTTGCATGGTGCTAATCTGGCAGGCCTGAGCGCACCGATGATGGCAGCGGCGGGCTCCACGGCGGGAGATCTCGCTCCCTCACAGACCTACAGCTCTAGCATGCACAACCTCGCAGCGCTGATGGCAGCTAACAACCACCGTAAGTCGAAGCTTCGTTAGCTAACGAGCGTGTCGGATGCTAACGAGGGCGTCGTTAGTTGATGAGCGTGTTTGCGGAGGCTGTCATTACGGCGTGTGTAGCCTCGCGGCAGAAAAACGACCGCTGCGAGTCGAAAGCTAGTTAGCTAACGAGCGTGTCGTCAGCTAATGAGTGTTTCATTGGTTAACGAGCGTGCATGCTATTGCTGCAACTAACAACTGCTGTGACTCTAAGCCTCGTTAGCTAACGAACGTTGGCATGGCCTCGACGACATCATTAGCTAACGAACGTTCACGCAGGAGCTAGCCGTTAGCTACGAACGATCTCACGCGAGTCACCTGCGGGCTACCGCTCTCGCGTGCGCGCCCGCGTGTTGCCGGCCGTTACAATGTAGATCGGGTGCGATTTCACGTGACGTCGGATGCCATCTAAGGCGCCATCTGGCGAGAGAGTAGCCGTCCTCGGTGTACCGCTGTCAAAACACCTTGCATCTAGCATGTCTAATGCGATCTTCATAGGACCGCTAGATGGTGCGCGCATTCTGCTCGTCGTATTTCATGCTAACTCGGTATATTTGGCGACGAGTCGGTTCGCGTTCTCGTTCGCGACGTCGCGGAGAGCGTACAGCGCGCACTTTGGGCGGTGCGGTGCACGACGCGCAAGAAAAACAGGAGAGAAAATAGGCGTTCGCTCGCGAGATTGCGCTCTCACGGGCGACTTAATCCGAGGCGACGACAGCGCTGCGCTAAGGCGGGTTCATACTCCCGGGACGTTGCTCTCGCATCGTTGCAGATTAAGTAATCATTACCTTCGCATCAGTGACAGCGGGGAAGCCACGATGAAAGGAGGCAGCGCAGGGGCTGCCCCGTAAATTAATTAGCGGCGCACGATTTTGTTTTCGCCGGGTTTTCGCGCGCTCACGTGCGCGTGAGCGAAATCTCGATAGTCTGGTCTTTGTTCGGCCGGTTAATCCCGGCTGATCGTATTAGCGGCTTTTCACTGACTCCGCATCTCTTTCATTTCTCCCGCAGCTTTGAGTTCGATAGGCAGTATGCACCAGCTAGCAGCACTGAGTCCATCCATCGCATATTCACAAGGTATTAACCCTCTGTAGTGATAGTATACCAGTCCGTGATGCAGTGTGGTGTACCAACCCTCTGTAGTACTAGTATACCAGCCTGTGATGCTGTGTGGTGTACCAACCCTCTGTAGTACTAGTGCGGTGTACCAACCCTCTGTAGTTACTAGTGCACCAGCCTGTGATGCTGTGTGGTGTACCAACCCTCTGTAGTACTAGTGCGGTGTACCAACCCTCTGTAGTTACTAGTGCACCAGCCTGTGATGCTGTGTGGTGTACCAACCCTCTGTAGTTACTAGTGTACCAGCCTGTGATGCTGTGTGGTGTACCAACCCTCTGTCGGCCTGGTACACTCAGTGCTACAGAGGGTTGAGTACACCACACTGCATAGCGCAGAACTGGTATACTAGTACTCAGCAGTAGGCGTTGGTATACACCACACAAGCATCACAGGTGCTGGTATACTAGTAACTACAGAGGGTTGGTACACCACACAGGCATCGACAGCACTGGTGGCACTAGTACTACAGAGGGTTGGGTACACCAGAAAACACAGCATTCAATAGGCATGGTTGCACTAGCTACTAGTAGGTTGGTTAGCTGTACAAATGAGAGCATCATAGATCTGGTATACTTAGTACTGTAACATATGATTTTACAGATGTACACTAAATTATGTTAAGGAGTCGCGTGAGTTGCGCTAGACTCCGGTTGTGTTTAGTGTTAGTCTATGGTAGACAGAGCGTCGCGCATCTTGTGCGGCCTACATGATGTTAATATTGGCAGAGACATGGTAAACGTCGTTTTAGGTCGGGCATTTCACTTACGGTCATTGTGAAATCGGAGTAGGACGCCGTGTGGGAGAATGGGTGACATGTGCGCCAAGAGTAGGGCGTTTTTTTTTGGGGTAATATATAGAATGAGATTTAGAGAGACGCGGGGAAAGACAGAGTATGCGCCATTATCTCTGTGCAAGATGTGAACTATACCTGTGTGGCAAGATATTAAAAGTTTAATTCAGTTTAAATTTAATACACAAGTTTGGGTTCCTTCTGTATTCACATACATCGAACTTTAATTCAACGTTACAGTACTACAGAGCGAGACTTGTGTACACTATACTGGCATCAGCAGATTGATACATTAGTAACTACAAGAGGGTTGGCTCACACCACACGAGCAATCACAGGCTGTATTACTGATCACTACAGAGTGTTGGTAACGCACACAGCATCACAGACCTGGTACACTTAGTAATACAGAGGATTTGCAACACTGAGTATGCCATCAGCAGACTGGTACAACTAGTACTACAGAGGGCTTGGCACACTAGTACTGCATCACAGACTGGTACACTAAGTACTACAGAGGGTTTGGCACACTAGTAACTACATCACCAGGCTGGTATACTAGAGTATTACTACAGAGCGGTTGGTAACACCAACACTGCCATACACAGACTGGTACACACTAGTGCTTACGAGGGTTGGCACACTAGTACTGCATGACAGACATGGTACACTAGTACTACAGAGGGTGGCCACACGTAAGTACTGCGCATCACAGACTGGTTTACACTAGTACTTACAGAGGAGTTGGATACACTTAGTACTACATCACGAGCTGGTACTAACTAGAGTGTACATGACAGAGGGTTGGCTACACCACACTGCATCCACAGAATGCTGGTACACTCAGTGGCTAACAGAGGTGTGGTACATCCACACTGCATCACGGACTGGTATAGCTAGTGCGTACAGAGGGTTGGCTAGCACCACAGCTGCATCACGGACTTGGTAATACTAGTGCTAACAGAGGGTTGGTAGCACCACGTGATCACGGAGCTGTATACTAGTACTACAGAGGGTTGGTACATCACACTGCATGCACAGCTGGTATACTACGTACTACAGAAGGTGGTACGTACACAACACTGAATCACAGGAACTGGGTATACTATCACTACAGAGGGTTAATACCTGGTGAATATGCGTGGATGGCGACTCAGCGTGCTGCTAGCTGGTGCATACTTGCCTATCGAACTCAAAGCTGCGGGAGAAATGAAAGACATGCGACGTCAGCTGAAAAGCCGCTATACGATGCAGCCGGATTAACCGCCAACAAAGACCAGACTATGAAGATTCGGCTCACGCGACCACGTGTGCGGCAGCGCTGAAAAATCACGCGCGCGAAAACCAAAATTGCGTGTCGACACGCTAATATTAATTTAACGGGGGCAAGCCGCCTGCGCGCCACTCCTTTCATACGTGGGTTCCGCCGCTGTCACTGATGGCGAAAGGTAATGATTACATTAATCTGCAACGATGGCGAGAGGCAACCGTCCCGGGAAGTATGACACCCGCCTTTAGCGGCAGCGCTGGTCCGTCGCCTCGCGATTAAGTCGCCGGCCGTGAGAGCGCAATCTCTGGCGAGCGGAGACGCCTATTTTCTTGCTCCGGCTGTTTTCTTGCGGCGTCGTGCACCGCACCGCCCAATGGCAATGCGCGCTGTACGCTTCTCCGCGCGCCGTCGGCGAACCGGAACGGCGAACCGACTTCGTGCGCCCAAATATCGCCGAGTTAGCATGAAAATACGACGAGCAGACCATGCGGCGCAACCATCCTAGCGAGTCCTAATGAAGATCGCATCTAGACATGCTAGATGCAAGGTGTTTTGAACAGCGGTTACACGCGGCGACGAGCTACTCTCTCGGCCAGATGGCGGCCTTAGATGGCATCGAGACGTCACGTGAAATCGCACTACAACCAGATCTACAATTGTAACGGCCGGCAAACACGCGGGCGCCGCTGCACCGAGAGCGGTAGACCCGCGAGGTGACTCGCAGTGAGATCGTTCGTAGCGTAACGCTGCTAGCTCCTGCAGTGAAACGATTCGTTAGCTAATGATGTCGTCGAGGCATGCCAACAATTCGTTACTAACCGAGGCTCTAGAGTCACAGACAGTTGTTAGTTGCGGAGCAAATAGACATGGCACCGCTCGTTAACGCAATGAAACACTGATTAGCATGACGACACGCTCGTTAGCTAACATAGCTTCGACTCGCAGCGTCGTCTGTTTTTCTGCCGCAGAGGGCCTACACAGCGCGCGTAATGACAGCCGTCCGCAAAGCTCGCTCATCAACTAAAGACGCCCTGCATTAGTCATCCGACACGCTCGTTAGCTAACGACAGCTTCGACTTACGGTGGTTTGTTAGCTGCGCATCAGCGCTGCGAGGTTGTGCATGCTAGAGCCTTAGTAGGTCATGTGAGGGAGCGAGATCTCCCGCGGTGAGAGCCCGCCGCTGCCATTCATGCGGTCGCGCTCAGGCCTGCCCAGATTAGGCACCAAATGCAAGCGCGACCGCTGCAGCACACACACTACCACGCATGGATTAGCTTCATAATTAACGGCACTAGCTACTCGCTTAGGCCCATCAGCAAAAGTGATTTCAGCTATCCCTATGTGCAATGGCTCTTGCGTAAAGCTGCCGCATAGCTATGTGGCTAGCCGATGTGTGTTCGGCTGATCGTTTAGGCTCTTCCCACTAAGCTGTTCAATTAGACTGTGTGTAATGGCTTTCTCGGTTAGCGATATTTTGTAACGCGTATTCGGGTAGTTGCTCACAACATTATTTGTAACAGCTATTACGGTTAGTAATTTGCAATGCTCTATTCGGTTAGCCTAGTCACATCAGCATCATACTATTTGTAACAAGGACTTTCTGAGCAAACAGCAGCCGCTATTTGGGTTGGAGATAACAGGACGTCAAAAGAAACCTGCCGTGAAAACCGGGAGCGTCCTCTAGACATCTGTGCTACCCTAGCTACTCCTAACCCAAATTCTATCTATCGCCAGTCCGTAAAGCCTGAAATGCTACTGAAAGGTAATGGAAGCCTACTAAATAAATCGCTAAAAATGATTCAGTGGCAGATAGACGGGTGGACCCAAAACTCCTCAGCCCCGACCAAGTCGCAGTCCGGTCGCAATTAGCGCACAAGGCCTGATGTGACGAGAAGAGCTCACTGAAAGCTTCCCTGTTATGTACGCGTCAGTGACCCAATGAAATTCAATGACCAGCACCCGCAACACATGTTCAGGCATTAAATTAACGCGCATTATGACTTGACTACGCATGAATGAGCGCGGCGGCCAAAAATTGCCAAAAAACGTCATTTCCCTATTTACCCGCCCCGACGAACCCACACGACCCGTGAAACGCAGCGTTGTTTAATGCATAACAAGAAACCAATTACACGTGGGCCAAACCTGACGCGGCCAGGTCGATTAGATATGAAGCTTCTGCGTTGACAGGCTTACCCAAATCAGTATGTACACACTTGTGGATGCTGTATCCCTGGCTGATGTTGTACGGCCAGCGCTAGGTGAACCCAGTGGCACTAGTGCGGGCAGAAGTAAGATTGGTGTAGTTATGGCAACTGTAAGTACGTCCCCCCCCCCCCCCATAAGTGAACTAGTGCGGTAGGGTGGCACTTGTGCAGTAGGGGGGTGGCAACAGCTGGCTTTAGTACAGAGGCTGTACATTAGTGTGCCAATGGCAGTACCCGGTGCGGTAAGGATGGCAGCTCTGTGGCCACTCATGGCAAGAGCGTGTACAACGTCGTCGTGTAGGGCAGGAGGCCACACCTGGCGTGTCCGCGTCGGGCACTTAATGCGCTGGTACTTCCCGGCACGCAGTGAGTGCCTGTTACCTGTATGTATTACCTGCGTAGTCCGTAGACTGTGTTATTAACCAAGGTGTGCGGCGAGCGAGTGAAACTGCGCGCCTAGCGAACGCCAATGCGTGGGCGAGCCAAAGTTGATGCGCGTTGCGTGAGTTAGCACAGTGTTGCGGATCGCTGTTGGAGCTGCAAACAGTGAATACAATGTTGGTATCGCGTGTTGGAAGCTTGGCAACATATAATGACATATGTTGGAATTTGTGTTGGAAGCCTGCAACCATAAGATGGCAATGACAGTGTTGGGATTTGCTGTTGGAAGGGGCCAGCACAATAGACGAC